ATTACTTGCATAAAATGCTTGTATTCTTACTTTTCCTTTTTGTATATTTGATAAAAGTATAGTATATATTTAAAATAACTTTACACTATTCTTAAAGAAAGTGGTTGATTACAAAAAAAACATTCGTGAACCTGAAAAATATTTGTATTAATTATCCTACCACTATGGAAAATACAAGTGAAAGTGAAAATATAATCGTTTTGACAGTAATTTAACAGTAATTTAACAGTATTTTTGGCATATTATTTTAATGTACTAAAGTACTAAGTATAATAGGCACTGATATCACAATAGGTACCTAACAGTCTTAGAGGTATTAGAAAAAGTACTGTCAATTTATATAAATTCATTCTTTCACGGTTAATTAACATAGATACTATATTTTACATTTTATTTTTTTAAGTACCTAGGTATCACATTTTTGGTGCTATATGTAAAGGTAAGGTTTTTAATCACAATAGTTATTATTTTTTTAAGTAGGTATTTTTATTGTCAGTAAAATTTATCTCCAGCTAAATAATTTGTAAAATGAGTCTCTAAGAAGGCTACCATTATCATCGTAGATGGTTTGGTGTTAATTCTTCAATTTTTTCTCTACATTTGATCCTCAATCCTATTTTTGGAATTAATTCCTTTAAATTCTCCTCGCTTAGGTTTACCATAATATCGATATCTATCTCGTTTTCTAAAACAAAAATAATATAGCTGAATTGGAGGCTATAGCCTTTCTGCTGTTTATGTGCTATTGTCTATTACCTGTCGTATGCTATCCATTTTACACTACAGTATACCTATCCATTTTACACTACATTTTTACGATCATGCCTAGTTAATTACTTTAAATTAACGAAATATTATTTACTTACCCAAAAATGTGTCTAGTAAACATTCTTAGCCCCAATTTTTAAGTTTCTTCTCCATTATTTTTTATTAAAAATAACATCCAGACCGAAAAAGGAAAAAACGAACTGCCGGAGCCGACACGTACACACGCTACCACCATAGAACACAGGACAGAACTGAACACAGAAACTGCGTCTTTTCTTTTAGCGAAGCGGTCTTAGAGGGTGGACGGTATTTACTTAAGCGAAGAATTAGGTATTTGTTTTAATAATAGCTATCCTTAAATACAGTATAGTGTATTCTTTGTTCTAGAGGTCTTATACTTAAATTTAAGTATAAGCGTTCTTGTATTAAATATACATATATTTAAATAAAGTATACCGAAATTTCATACAAATATACAGAATACTTAAAATAAGTGGCAATATTCCGCTTTGAGTAAAAAACTAGAGCTCTTTCATCCAAGCATTATTGTATATTTGATTTAAGTATACCAATTTTCTTTAAAATAAAATACCTTTAAACTCAATCCAAGAATACTCATCTCAAATCAAGTAACAGTTTTTCTTAAAAATTAAGTATATCCCATAACTTAGTTTAAATGTACGCTAATCTCATAAAAATAATAAATATACTTAAATCAAGTTCCTAACATGAAGTATAGAACTATTCTTAAACCTAGTAAGGGATTTTTTTCCGTGTGGCTTAATTTTCACTTGTACCATGGTTCCCCATAGTATCCAAAAATTTAATAGCCAATTCCTATGTAAAATTGTCCTCTGAATCCGAAAATACCGTCAAATATTATGAAAGTGGAGCAGTTTTTGAGATATAGTCAATTCCATATTAAATAGAAAATTGACTATATCTCAAAAACTGTTCTACTTTTTTAACATTTTTGGATTCAGGGGACTATTTTACATAGGAATTGGTTGTTAAATTTTGGAATATCCTGGTATTCCATGGTTAACTATGGTACAAGTGAAAAAGCAGCCACTAATAACTATTAAATTAGTTATTTTTGACTAATTCATTTTTAGAGAGTAATGTTTTTAAACTTGGCATCATGGACATGTTTTATTCTCAGGAAAAACATCTAAAAATTAAAAATAAAACGATTTACTTATTATGAGCTATGTACCTACCTACTGGAAATTTGTCTGTACAATAAACAAAACGCGATTTTCACGCGATTTTCGACCTTATGAACCAAAACAAGATGCAATTTTTTACATTATAAACCATTGACTTACCTTTAATTAATAATTATAAACCACAACTAAACCGCTTGGTGCATTATTCCAACACAAATTCTGAGAGAACAATGAATGAAACAAGTTTGCGTTTTTGTTAACTGAATACCCCTGATTGCATATTTACACTAATGTGCACTGTGCTAGTGTTAAATGTATATTTAAGTATAAAATTAGATTGATGTGGAACACTACTATCATTCCATCGCCCTTAGACGAAAAAATATATTTTAGGATTGAAAATAGTGTGATGTTTTACACTAACTTTTCACTCTAAAACTTTCACCTGGGAGAATACTAAAATACTTTTTTACTGTGTATGAACAACTTTCAACAAAAGTTCCGAGTTGGCTAAATTCGTCGTTTCGGAATTATTATGTTTTTAATGAAAATGCCATTTTCTAGTAAATTGTTTTATGTAGGGTAATGAAACTGGGGTGACCTTAATAAAGTGTAATTTAGAATTTTTCGAAATATTTAACATATTTTTGTTACTTCTAATTTCACCGGAAATCCTCTTAAGTAAGTAAATTAAATATTTTAGAGTAAAATGTAAATTCTTAATATTTTTGCATGTGTTACTTTTAAAAGAAGTAAAAAGTATACTTACGTAAGTTAATTTTGGTTAAAATATTAAAAAGTAATGAATCGAATGCACAAGAAACTTATAAAAACGCGATTTCGAAGAAATGTAGAACATATGTGTTCTACATTTCTTCGAAATCGCGCAAACAATTCCGAAAAATTTTGGTCGGTTAACAGATATGAGTGAGGCAGTCGCGAAACTTTTTTGACTGAGGCTCTATCAGGAAGGGAAATAAGTATTAATTAATTTTATTTAATTTTATTTAATTTTGTTTAATTTTTATTTGATTTCATATTTCATTTTTTTATTTATTGCAATAGACTCCCTACAATGGACACACTATGGGGTGGTTGGATATAACTTTTTATAATGATTTTATTAGGTATACGTATACTTATAAGTATAAGTATACTTTTAAAACCAAAAAAGGTTGAGCAATTACTTACACCCCTTTGATTCTAACCACAACCATTATTATTGTATTTTATAAAAAGTTTTAGCATATGTTTTTATAGTAAAATAAAATAATAATATTCACTTACCAGCTAAACAAACTAACGAACTGTCAAATCTGATACTTCTTTTAAATACAAAGGTTTCAAAGCCTTCTTAATTTATTTTCTTCAGTACAACCAAATAAACATTCAAATTAAATTAAGAGTTTGAAATCGATATTATTAAAAAATGCATTAATATTTGGTATCAAATTTAAAAAAGTGGATTTCTTTTATGACCAACGAACCACCTTTTTTATTAAAAAAATAGTTTTGGCATAAAGTATGGTTTTAGTTTTTGAAAGCTCCTAAAAACCAGCATTGCAAAAAACGAATAAACTTGTATTTTTTCCAGACTACTTGGCCCAACATGAAGCAGAAAAGCCAAAATTTAATCAAAAAATGATTTGACCTGTCAAAAATTGACAAATGACATAGGTATGTTTGTATTCAGAATTTTATTTTGAAACGAAATATGTAAAAATGCATAGGGTGTTTCATTAAAAAATAAAAAGTTAAGACCATTTCCGGTAAAACCGGAAGTGACAAGAATATGTTAAATATGGCAAAAAGTTATAAATTACACTTTATAAAGGTCACCCCCAGTTTCATGACCCTAGATAAAATACCAAATTTTTGCGATGAACCACGAATTTACTAGAAAATGGCATTTTCATTAAAAAACGACGAATTTAGCCAACTCGGGACTTTTGGTGAAAGTTAATTAATTATATTTTTTGTATGTAGTAAACATTTCTTTAATTTAAAAAAATGAAACGCATTTTCAAGAAAAAATTTCACTTTTCAAAAGAGAAAAATCAATGTTTTTGTCCATTTTTCAAAAATTTCCTACGGGTGAACAAAACAAATTTAAGCAAAAAGAAAAAATACGGGTCTCATCGATTTCGGTAGAGAAACTGTAAACAAAATTCTAAAACTCTACCACACCCTGCTAAAATCCAATAGATATTGAAGAGAGAACACTCCCCAGGACTGGAATTTTTATAAAAAGAAGATGGAACGTACACTGCCGACGAGGAGGAGACCGGTTGTAGTGTTCTATCCAACTAATTGAGGTCTTAACCAAGAACACTACACATGGGATCTTAATCAGAAACACAAGTCAAATCAACAATTGATGCCATCAGTGATCTCACTGGAAGGATAGAAAGGGCCCTGGTTTATAAGAAAACAGCACTATGTTGGCTTATTACCTTCAAAATGTATACCCTATAACCCTGAAAGAATTCAGACAAACAGCACTCAAATGGGTTATTAGATGTGTCCAACATGTAGAAACCGCGAAATTTTGTCTTAAGTTGAGACTGAACAGTGGTATATTAACTACTAGATGTTATCAGCGATTTCGTTCCCGTAGAATTAGTACTTTACAGAAGCTATGATGAAGGATCATTCAGCATAAAAGTCAAAAGGTTAAAAAGTAGCCCCTGCCGCCCCCATTTCAATCCATGATAATTATTTTTGTATAGATATTTATTATTAATAAATTACCCAGGAATAAAACCTTACTCTTTTGCGTGACTATTTGTGAAATTAAGAGCTGCGATATTTTTAGAACAACCAATTAAATAAAAATCAAATTAATGCTTAAAAATTTTAAGTTACAATACTAAAAATTATAGTCAATGCGACTTGAAAGTTTTACTATATTAAATTAAATTTTACCCAGAAAAATCTATTTTTCGATAAATACAAATTTGTTAGAATTTAATAAAAATCGTAGTTGGTGGTGGTGGTGGGGGTGATGAGAAAACCTTTAGGAAACCCCCAGGCGCTCAATTTACCAGTTGATCGTAACGGTTTGTCCTGTCCGCGCGGTTATCCTTGAATTATCCTTCCGCCAGTTTGCAGGGAAGACTTACAACGGCAACAGGATATTGTGAAACGCAACAGGTAGGCTAACGTTGCACTTTTAAGGGATATTCTTTCCATAAACAATGCATGAAAACATTTAAAATTATTAACTTTTTATATACATTGATAAATTATAATACACAAAATGTTGTGCAGAATAATATATTAAATATTGTAATTCTTTTTGTTTTTTTATAAAAAGTACCAGCTTATTATGACAAAGAGCTTTTTAAAGATGGAACCATTAAATCGGCTTTAGTAAAATGTATTACTTTGTAGACGAAAAAAACTGTTATTAAAATTTCATATGTATTTGTAACGGGCTTTGTAAGACAAATATTAAATTAGGTTAAAGGTTAAGTTCTCTTATAAATTAATGTAAAATAATTATAAGGCCATATTACCATAAAACTTAAAATAGCCCTAACATCTACTTTTTCAATAGTAAAAATACTTAATATTTGTATTTATATGATTATTTAAAACATATTATCACGATTTAATTTTTCCACTAGTTTACAACAATTTTAAAATTCATATGTTTAACAATGTTAAAGTAAAAGTGTACATAGTGCAATTGGTAAGTTTACTTAAAATTAAATTAAATATTGAATTTTTTTTAAGTTTTAAATTATAAATATGCAAATAAGATTCCTTAAATGTATTTACTGGATTACAGTGTGCGTAAAGCAACTTACTAATTTTGCCACTGGCTTAGAATAGAACTATTTAATTAAGTTACAATAAAACCTTTCCCTATACTACAATAACATTGTAAATAAAAGTACTTAGTAAGTATTTTTACAATTAATAATAAAATATTTTTTTAGCGACCCAATACTTTTAAATTGCAACTATTAAACATACGAACATATATTTATTTAACAACGCTCAAAAATAACCTTAAAAAAATTTGGTCCTTAAAAAATAATACTAGGTACCAATCAGAATTAAGTTTAAACTAAACCCTATTGCTTTTTGAAAGTCACGGTTGTCGAGCTTTATATTAAAGTGGAAGTTTATTAGGAAGCGAAGAGTTCATGTAAAAGTAATAGAATAATTTTACGATTATTTAACAGGCATTTTATAACTTTTGTAAAGGAAATGGTAAATTTAAAATTAAACCCAAATTGATGGCCTTAAAGAGAAAAAGATTTTAACAAGTTTGGGTAGTTTAATAGATAATAAAAGGGCAAGTTTTAGGTAGTTAGAATATATTTTTTTAAATATTATTAAAATAAACCTATAACCAAAACTATACAGGGTGTTCCAAAAGTCAAGCACCTCTAAAAGGTGTATGATCAAGAGACCCCGGAAATTCTATTCTTATTATTTAAAAACATATTTTTATTTAATGGCAATATTACTTAATAATAAAGGACCTCTGCAGTGCCGGGCAGCGATGTGGTAGGTAACCACACTTGAAACAAGCTGCCGTTTACCGTCCAAACGAAGAGTTTTAGAAAGCACGGTGACGAGGTACAATGTAGAAAATCATTTTTTGAAACTGTATAACCCGAATAGTCACGGTTTTGGCTAACTAAGTCTTTTGGACCGTAGTGGAGTAAGACTTTAATTCCCCCTAAACAAAATCCGTTGGTTATTATTATTATTTTAAACAAAATTTTTCTAAATCATTTACCTGGTTATATTAATATAAATTGTTCATATAATTCTACCAAAAAGTGGTAAATTAGGGTACAAAATAAGTAAGCGATTCATCACATGTATTTTGACTAAAAGTCATATATTTTCAGAATGGACTGCAATGAGTTCCGAGGCCGGGGCAAAGATATGATAGAGTATATTTGCGGCTATGTTGAAAATATCGAGACTCGTAGAGTGACTCCAAATATAGAACCTGGATATTTGAGAAAGTTGCTTCCAAAAGAAGCACCAGACACACCGGAAGACTGGGAAAGCATTATGGCCGATGTGGAGTCCAAAATTATGCCTGGTGTTACCCATTGGCAACATCCAAGGTTTCACGCTTATTTTCCAAGTGGAAATTCATTCCCATCTCTTCTTGGAGATATGCTTAGTGATGCTATTGGTTGTATAGGGTTTTCATGGGTAAGTTAATTTATAAATTAAATTTATTTGCAAATGTATATTATTATTTAAAAAATTACATATTTAAAAAGTGAAAGTGAAGTAAATATTATGTAATTAAAAAAGCTTTTTGGATCAAGTTTCCCCACCCTGGAAAATCAAATTTAAAACTTAATTTAAATAGTTGTTAAAATATCCTGAATACACAGAGAAAAAGGATTACTTGATTTAACAAAATGGGTTTATTTGAAATTAATTTATTTGCAACAAAACAAAATTATTAAAATTAAAATCTGTATTTTTCCTTTAATAAAACTGCTTTGTTTGAATATTTTTTTTAATTTCTTTGGATTTAGCATGTGATAAAAAGTCAATGCAAAGAAATATTTCTTTAAAAAAATATCAGTTCGCTAAAACAAAACTGTTTATTTACATCAATAAACAATTTCATTGGTACGCCATAAGTGTAAAACATTTTATATGAAACAAACATTTATTTTACTTTTAAATAGATCAAATTAAATCAAATAAATATTTATTTAAAGTAAAGATCGCGTGATTAAAATAAACCAATCAAATGTAAGCTTCTTGTTCTAACCGCTTTCAGGAAGCTTGTTGAATTATCATTGCCATTTTGGTCTGGATAGTGTGGCTGTATTTTTTATTAAGTTTATTAATTTAATATAAAAATGGATGTGAATGTGTTCCTAAAATCATCCAATTTGGAGGATTTGCTGCCAGCGTTAACAGGTAAGTATAAACATATACATAGGTATGTATAAGTACATCTATATCTGACCATCATTAAATTTTTAATACATCAATTATTATGTCTGAATCCCGCCATTTTTTTTTACATTTTTTGCATCAAAAATTAAGTTAGTTGACAGTCAAATGTCTTACAATCGTTAAAATAAAGTGCCCTTCTTGTAAAACAGTACTAAATGTGAAAATTATTTTATTATCTCAATACAATAATACATAAGCATTAAATTGTTTTTCAACGCCAATATTTGCAAAGTGCCTAAATTAAATTCGTGTCTAAAATGGCGTTTATCAAACTTGATACATAATATACTATTGTTCAGGGTAGTTATGAAATAATAATTTTTTGTTTTAAATTAAATTGTCTTAAAATATTAAAAAATATACAGGTTATCGCATTAAAAAAAGATTATTTTTGTGAATATTTCGGAAACCCGACGTTTGATTATTTTTTTGTTTTCACCGTTTAAATCAGAAGAAAAAATGCCAACTTAACCGACTTTGTAGCTCCAATTATAGATAGAATGATAGCAATGGTGAGCAGACAACTTTGTATACCTACACCACAGGCCGTATTTACTTTCTTTTTAACGATATTTAACCCATTAATGGCAACATTTTATTTTTTTTAATACTTTTTGATATATTTTGTTTATCATATGAACATATACAGGGTGTATTGTCAACTATTTATTTATTATTATTTAATATTTATCTATATATATACCTACCAGTATTGTTTTTAATTTATTTTATAAAGAGTTTCTGTTTCGTTTTTTATAATATTGTTTATTTTTTTATCGTTTTTTAAATATATTGTTCTGTCTTTTCAAGTTTTGTTTTTCTATACCATGGTCTTTAAATTTATACCAGTGCAATGTGTGTTCGTGACGAAATGAAAAAGGGCGAGGGGTAGGTATTTTTAAATAATATGCAAAGTATTATTTATTTTAAAATTTAAAACAATATTTTTTTAAATTAATTAATCTTTATTTTCCTTTAAAAATATAAATTTGTTCGTTTTAAATAAATATAGTCTTAGAAGAAAGTAACATTCTTTAAGAAATTAAAAAAATATTCATTTACAACAACATGGTATATTTTTTGAATCTTCAAAGAAAAAAATTATTCAAGAAATAAAATATTCTTTAAAACATATTAAAGAAATATCTAATAATAAACAAATAAATATTTACTTCGCCATATACAAACAACAAATTTATTTGGGACAAACAAAATTTATTTTATTCAAGTAATCCTTTTTCTCTGTGTACCAAAATAAAAAAATATTTTATAAAATATAATGTATGACGTTTGTTACAAATCATGAGTATGATGCGGCAGAAAAAATGTTGGAGATTAGATTTACAAAGGCTGTTACTGTAAAAGGCACATTATCTTACCATTGCATAATACCAATTACAGAAAAGAAAGCAAAAGTTAAACATTTTTCATTGGAAAAACAGTCCATTAAAGTTAAAATTATAAAATAATTATTTGGTTTGTTACACGGTTTGTTAATATTCCTGTAAATAAATGTACTCAGTACTTAAATTATTTTTGTTAATTAGGAATAAACGCGCGCCATTACAACTCTATGCCTGCAGCGCCCTGGCGCTACTTGACATGAAACGTCACGCGCGACCCAATATAATTTAATATCTTCCGATCTAAGAAAGTTTTCAATTACGTAAGAAATTAGCGCTCATGGTATTTTTTATTTATTTTTTTGGACTTGCATGAGGACCAGCATGTAATTTATATTTTTACACAAACTGATGTTCTTTACAAAAACATTGATAAATATAGACGCCACTAACTGTAAGTATTCTCAGTTGTCTATAGACATTTATAAATGTACCTCTACATGAGGTTCTTGGAGATAAGCCTAGCATTCTTATAACTGTTCTTTTTTAAATGATGAACACATTTTTAATATCACTGCTACTTCCCCAAACAATTATACCAAAACTCAAAATTGAGTTAAAATTTGCAAGGTATAAAATCTTTAGAGTGTTGAGGTTAACATATTGATACAAAACTCTAAAACTATTTAATACTTTGTTAAGTTTATCACAGATCTGTTGAACATGTTTATGCCAACTTAAATTTTCATTTATATAGACACCCAGAAACTTTCTGTCTTTTACAACGGACATTGTTTATCACATATTGCTCAGGTACATTTAGGTAACTATTGTTTATTCGAAAAATAACAAAATTAGACTTGTCTGTATTCAAGATTAATTTATTTTTGTTAAACCACTGTACAAGACTGTGCAACACCCCATCTGCATTCTCCATCAAACTTTCAAAGGTTTTACTTTCTGTAATGATATTGCTGTCATCAACATAGTTTATTAAAACATCTATATTATTTATCAAGCAGTCTTTCAATCATTTAAATAAATAATAAATAAGAGAGGTCCAGCAATGCTACCTTGTGGTACCTGTCTTAAAATATTGGCATGAAGAAGTAAACCTTTTGACATCTTCCCGAGAGGTAGGATCAAACCACCGCAGTGGTAAACCCCTTACTCCATAGTTGTGTAGTTTGCTTATTAAAATATCGTAATTTAAGGTGTCATAAGCTTTGGACAAGTCTAAGAACATCCTCAGCGAAAGCATTTTACTAACTATTTTCTGGAGGGAATACTGCAGTTTCAATCGATCTACCCCCTTGGGCTTGGCTAAACAAAGAGCATGTATTAAAGAAATTAACAAGCTTTTGACACATTGCTGCCTCTAAAACCTTTGAGAATACAGGCAGTAAACTAATGGGTCTATAATTTTCAATGGATGTAGGGTCACCCTTCTTATACAGAGGCCTAACAATTTCAACTTTCAGTCTTCCTGAAAAAAAACCATTATTAAGGGAATTATTAATAAGGTAAAATGGAATTGTTGACAGTTCAAACGCACAGAAATTTATAACAATAGCTGGTATTTCAGTATACCCACTTGATGACTTATTTTTAAGATTATTAATTATATTTACAACACTACTTTTACTCAGGGATTCAACACAAAATGATCTTCTGTTCATCTCAATCCTACAGGAAAACTCCACCTTTGGCAGACCTGCAACCAATCAGTTAAACGTCAAATGTCAAAGTATTTAAAAGGAAGGTCTTGAACAGGAGTATCAATTTTAAATATAAAATACCAAACCACATTAACATACAATACTAACATAATGAAATGTGTCAAAAATATAATAAAAAAAATAACTTGATGTTTTTGTGACAATTTATTAGGTGACACCCTATACAGGGTGTTTCACATTCGTGGTCCATTAGAAGTTTCTGGGGAACAAAAAAAGATCGATTTAAAATTTTAAAAGCGTTTGTAATCCATTAAAGTCTATTTTTCTAAAATATTGTAAACAAAATGCCCCTTCCGGTTTAACCGGAAGTGACATCAACTTTGTTATTTTAAATGAAACACCCCCATATATTTTTCATTTTTAAATTCAACATCAAATTCTGAGTAAAATCACTTTACCATGTCTTATACCTAAAGTATTTTTCGAGTTATTAATTTTTTTCGTTAAAATTTAAGAAATGCGTGTCAATCAAAAATAGCCTATGACTTTTTTGTTATCAGGTTTGCAAATATAGGGTTGGAATTTTTGGAATCTTAAAACATTGTTTAAAAGATTGCATGTCAATTCTTTAACATTTTTTTTACAATTACCTATAAAAAACAGGGCAAATTAGACCAACTTGAAAGGTTAATAACTTTTTTATTTCAAATGTAACACCCGGTATGTTTTTACATAATCAAATAGTAAATTAAAGAAACTTTCGTTTGATGTTACTATTCCCTATACCTAAAGTTAATAATTTCAGAGATATTTAACAATTTCTAAAATATTTTGTATCAATAAACCTGTGATGGGTGAGTTGACGGTATCTTCAGTCATCTATGGTATCTATGCTTAGCACGTCATTGTTCAAAATTTAATTGCATCAATTTTTTAGCTTGTTATAAACAATTTGGCGACTAACTAAATATTTGTAAACAAGATTACCTACTGATAAAAAATAGCAGTCAGTTAGTCAAGAAGAGCAACGCCTAATGTAGAAGTAAGAATTAAGAAATGCATTTTAGTAATAAATTGGTAATAGTTATTAAAATATTGTTGATTTATTAAATTGTTACACATTTTTGTTATTAAAATATCTACTTATTTAAATTAATAAATTTCCTATTTTATTGTCTCCAATGAGCTAGTGCTTTATCTAGTTGACATC